TTTTCTCACCCTTTTTATTTCTTTGCTAATAAACTCATCCAAAGGATGGAAGAGAAAGGTAGGATGAACGAACGTCATTCAAAGTTGAATTAAGATGTGTTGGTATTTAAAAAAAAAAATTGCGACACGAATGCTATTTTTTTGGACAGAAATAAAGTGAACAGTGTGAAAATACCTTTCTACTGAGATCCCATGAGTCTAAATCTGAATAGTTTTGGCCCAGTTATTCAAGTTTTTCGTAAACCAATCTTTGAAAAAAGTAAAAAAAAAACAGCATCAAAAATCTCATTCTTACGATTCCGTTGAAAAGATTTTAAAATATTTTTATGCAGATTTTTTAAGCTTAATCTGTTTTGTCATCTGAGGGGACTTTTTTCAAAAAGTTCTTTTTTGGAGGTATTTTCAAATCGGTCCAGCTCACTTAAATCTTAATATTTTTCCCAAATATTTTGGTGAATGTCTTAAAATATAATAAATTTTGTAATCCCGCCGGAAAAACCGCAACTTTTTTTGGTCATGCAGTCTAATGTGCATGCATGTGTGAGAATCATTTTTTTTTTTTTTTTTTGGGAAAAGGCGCAAATTTGAGGTATTCACTTGAAGTTTGTACACCTCAATGGTACTATATCTTTTTAAGAAAAATAAACGAGAATAAAGCTTAATAATTTATTGAAAATGTTTATTAAGTAGTTACCATGCAGTGCCAAAAAATTCAGATTTGTTTCTTTACATGAAAAAAATTTTGAGATTCGACGACATGGGCCCGAACAGTAAACTCCTTCGACTAAAATATAATGATAATAGATTGACTCTTACACAATATGTTAGTGTTTGGCCGAGCTGCTCCTTCGATTTGTGGCGTGCGCCTTCGAAATACTCTCGAAGTTTTGCCATTTCCTGCCCAGGAGCGACCGCTATGAGAAGAAACTTGTTCTTTATTTTTTTTCTTGATGTTGGGTTGAACCCAGGCACTGCTAACCACTAAGTGTATTGAAATTTTGTAGAACCTTCAACACGAACCTACAGAGTGTGTACAGATTTTAGGTGAGAAATGTAAAATGGATTCTATACGAATAGCTTGATTAATGCCTAGGACTCGAAGGTCCACCTCCACCTACTGTCCACATTTTTAGTACACATTCACTACAGTCGTATATCAGGAAAATGTATGCCGAGCACGAAGAATGTTTCGTCTTCGGGAAGAAAAGCTTAACCAGCGGGAATAAATATGTAGCTTAATGCGTCGCGGGAGAGGGCGACCGGGCGACCTGAAGCACACGCTTCTGATTTGTTCGAGTGCCTGAGATGAATACTAAAAGTAGTTCTCCTTAAAGCAGTTGAAGCGTCCAAACTACCAAACTAAGTTGCAACTAACAAAGCGAAAATATCAAATGAGAAGACACTCCAAAGGCAGCAGAATTCAGAGGGCAAAATTTGAAAAGTAAATAAACTTTTCCTAAGCAGCTGCCGGAGTGCCAACAACAACAACAACAACAACAACGCCAACGAAAACAAAACCAACTGCAACTTTATAATTTTGCTCAGGTCAAAAAGTGCACAACAGAGAATGCAACAAAATGGTCACAAACACATCTGCAACACCAGCAGCAGCAACAACAGTTTGTACTTTTGTCCATTTTTTGCACCATAGTTAGTTGATGATGTTCTTTTAGCTCCCGAGTGGAGTTGAATGCATTTTTATTGCTCGTTGACGTGCAGCAACAAGCACCCCGAGACACGCCTCTCCAAATGTGGCTGCTGACTGCTGACGATTGTGGCTGTTGCTGCGACAGTTGTCCACAATTTGTTGTTCGCTTTATCTGCGCTGGAGACAATTATGCTTTAGCTGCTTATTTTAGATGTGCGCACTAAAAGCAAGCGAACGAACGAACAGAGAGACAAACCGAGGCAACGAATGAATAGGAGTAGCAAAATTTTGCAAACTGTTGGAGAGGGAGGGAGGGAAAAGATGCTGACATGCTGACTAGACATATCAGCGCAAACTGGCGCGGGGGACACATGCGGCTGGGTATGGCAAAACGGAAGTCAATGTGGCGTGACTGGATTCAACACTGCTGGGATCCTGCCCTATGGAAGGAAGAGAGAGAACGCTTAGCAAAACAAATGGTGGATACCCGTATATGACGTCGACTGAACAGGGCTCTTTTTAAGTATAGATAGCACCTCGAGTTTTTTTTTTTTAATTATTGCATTTGAAATGCAGAATCAAGCGCACGCATTTGTGTGCTTAAGTCACTTACGTAAGGATGAGAAGTAAGAGTTTTAAAATTCAAAAAAAAAAAAGTAAACGTCACTCACAGTGTACACTTCAAGCTCCAAATTGTGAGAGAATTCAATGCAGCCCCGGAGCACGGATGTCTATGTTTCGGTAATAAACCATTTCATTTATTCCTCATTATACTTTCCCCCCTTTTTCAGCGTTCATTGGTCCTTTTTTAATATATATATTGCGCAGCATATTCATTGGCATTGCTTATTTGCCAAAAATAATAATTAGGCAAATTAAACAAGGAATTTGACCTCAGCGGAGTTGAACAAGGGAGGTTCATTCTCATCTCGAAGACGTGGGAAGCGCAAAGCCTCAGCCACAATGCAAAGAGGTTTTTCTACTCCGCTGCTGCTGTGGGTATTAAAAGTTAATACTTTTGACACTTATGTACGTACATACATTTTACTGCCCCAGAGCTGAGGACGCTATCTTCATGAATTCCAGCTCATCATTATGAAAACTTTCGACTTTAGATCTATGTAACTACATATGTATATACTTTTTAAAGTGAGAAAAGAAAAAACTTAAAGCAATAAACACAAATTGTCAAACGAAGGTGTAAGTACTGCCTCGGATTTTAAGAGGCGGAGTGTGCTGGATCACCCGCAAGCGCTGGGATAAATAACTGCCACGCATGCAAATTCGAAAACGAGGAGCCCGCAGGCAACAAAACAAGGCATTGGAAACTAAAAATAAAAGGAACAACACAAATATGCCACAGATGGGGAGGAGTGTGGGGAACTCAGACGAAAATAAATTACTGTTGCAGCCTGTCAGCCTGCCTGCCTGCCTGCCTGCCTGCCTGCCTGCCTGCCTGCCTGCCTGCTTGCCTGCTTGCCTGCTTGCTTGATGGCAACGGAATAATGTTGTTTTTGTCTTTTATTATATTTCTGCTGAGTGCTGAGTGTTGCTGCCGCCTGTTCTCATGTGGCACACATGTACAGCGAGCGACAATAACAATAATTCCATTTCTTCCATTGCAATGCAAAAAGTGCTCTTTTCGTTTCGTATTTGCTTGCCGACGTCGGCGAGCTGCTTATTCTGAGCCGTCTGTCTGCTGCCGCCTCGTCCCGGTTGCCATGTCAACCATTGTTTGTTTTCCATTTGTCGCTTTTGGCTTTTTCCTAACGAATCTGCCTCCGTGCTGCCTTGTCAGGATGCCTTGTTGTTTGTGTTCATCATCGCTTTAATGGATTTTCTAACTTGTCAACCTCAAAATGGCAACGAGAAATTGAATGTGCAAGAAACACAGTTGCAACAACAACACCAACAACAACACCAACGCACAAGCGAAACAAGTGCTCGAGCTGAAATGATAAATTCGACAAGTGTTAAACAACATTAAAATCAGCGGGGGATGGGCGGGGGGCGGGGGGGGCTTGGTTGCGGCATCGAAGTGAAACGCTGCCAAAGGGCGGCCATGGGAAGGGTGTAGCAAGCAATGCCGAGTACATCTCCATATGTACGTGCCCTGGGGCGAACTGTCGGCGCTTCTAAGGCGAAGTTTGATGATGTTTATTATTTTGCCACTTCGCACACGAATTCCATTACCAGACGACGAGCATGGCGGATGTGAAGGTTGTAATGACATTTTGGCAAGATTATTGCAAATGGCGAGTGGCTGTAATTTGTCGTTGTTGCTCACATGATTTGTGTTGGTATTTTAGCTTTGCGAAACTTATTGAGATATTCATATCCTTGTACTGACGAAAATTCATAAATAACTACTTAATGCATTGCTGCATCGGCGCTTAGGTGTGTGAGGACCCACCGCCGAGTTGTCAGTAAAAACATTTTAAAATATCCCCTTACCAACAATCGTATGTTTCACATTATTTAATCACTTGAAGCTCTAGAGAGTCATCGATAAGGTTGAGTTTTGAATTGCGCTCTAGGATTATCTAAGGATCCTTCCGATGGTTTCCGAATATTCGCTGCACTCAAACGTACATAAAACGGCACCGATTTTACTGCTGAAATTTTTTGCTTTGAATGCTTGGCGGGATTTGGTGGTTTGTTTGAATTGTCGGTTTCTTTATTATAAACCACTTCATCCTCCAGGACGGACAGCATTTTCTAGCTAAATTTTACTTTAAAACAAAGTTATTTATAGTTATTTAAAGTAAATGCGAGCACCTTCAAATATTAGATTCTATCTGTGTCCGTCCCTTCACATTTAACGTTTGATTTCTGCACTCGCGCCGATATTTTCGACAGCTGAAAAGGGATTAAATAAGGCTGAGCTTGCTTCCGAGTATCAGCTGGCCCGGTCGCGCCGCCACGTTCTTTATTCATTGGTGCCACTTACAGCAATGACGACGCACTCATTCGCACCTAACTAGCTTTGTATGTAGCTTTGAAATTACCCAAAAATATAAGTATGTATATATGTACGTACGTATCTTTTTTTATTTTAAAAGCAACTACGCTTGTATCACTAAGTTATGGCATACTTACTAGTTAATCTTAAATTTTTTTATAAAACGCATGCAATTTTCAAAAGAGAGCAAATTTTAATGCCCATAAACATACATAATATGTGCATTGTACATACATACATACATATGTACCTACATATCCTTACATAACTATTTTTTATTTTGTGATTTTGATTCAACACATCGTCGTACTCCAATTTATTTCATAGCAATATTTTTAAGCTAAATTATTTACAAACTATTTGTTTTTTTTTTTCGTCTTACACCCTCAGTCCTCAGTATTGATTAAAAATGAGCCAGACATCAGCGTCGCCCAACAACAGCAGCAGCAGCAGCAACAGCAGCAGCAGCAGCAGCAAAGCAGTTCAAGCAGTACTGGCGTTGGATCCGATGGTGGAGGCAGCTGCAACACGTCAATGTCTGTAACTTCCGGCACTGGAGGCCCTGCAACCACAGCTGCAGCTAACACTAACACTAACACGAACAACGGCATAAGCAGTATGAGTCAAACTGTAAACGGAAGCGGCCCATCTGCTGCCACAGAGTCGTCGGTCGTCGACAGCAGTGCTGCCAACGCGAATGGCGTTGCCGCCGTTACAACCACCGCCACACCCGGCAACGCAGCAGATTTGCTCGCCAGCGGCCACCAACAACAACTAATGATTGGCATAGGAGGCAGTCAGGCCACGGGTGGCACTGCCGCCACCTCCGTTACCGCCACATCAGCTGCTACGGGCACACTGGCTGCGACTAGCAGTGCTGCTAGCGTCACCAACGCTGGACTGTTGCCCTCAATCATGTCCGCGCCGCAGTCAGTAGCTGGCTCAGTTGACTCGGGATCGATTGTATCGCCGTTGGTGAGCGGCGCGAGCACCTCGCAGGTTATCGCCTGTCTAAACGCGGCCAGCGCCGGTGGTGGCATAATTACCTCTGCCGGGCCGTCCACACCCGCAGCCACTAGTCTCACTTCGGCTCTAGTCCCACTGCATCAGCAGCAGCAGCAGCAAGCCATCATTGATGCCAAAAATCAACCAAAGCGTTTGCACGTTTCGAATATACCATTTAGATTTCGTGATCCCGACCTTCGCGCCATGTTTGGGGTGAGTTGACTCAGCCAATGACTACACAATCTAAATATATATATATATGATACAAATGTACCTAGTTTCTTGTCTATGGCCTATTGCAAATGCCTTTTTAATATTTTCAATAATTTTTGTTATCTCCTGTGGCTTGGCTGGCGCGACCTTAATGTTCGGACGACACATACTTCACGATTCCCAACAGCAATTTGGTACCATTTTGGATGTGGAAATCATCTTCAATGAGCGCGGAAGCAAGGTGAGTAAAACAATTTCGATTCTGGCACATTTATCTAATATGGACATAAATATACTAGGGCCCTGCACGAGTAGTTAAAAAGCAATAACTGTAAATTTAGCAAAAGTCCACATCGTTATCATCGGCATTTTGCCGATTGTTTCTCTCACACATTGCTCCCGAATTGCGTTAACCCATAAGTTCTACTATTTCGGTTTGAGTGCAAACTTGTTTACTAGGTCATTAAAAAAAACAAATGGATTTGAATATTTTTTTAAGAGATTTCGTAGAGCGTGTTCCGTGAAAATGTGATCAACTCTGTTCATTTTGCTCCAATTTTCGTTTTCAAACTATCAAAGTATTTTTTCCTCATCCCTTGTTACTTTTTCCAAATTGGCTGCTTCGCATCCCAAAAATTTCTAAACAAATCTCATCGCAAAATGGATTAATTGTACAAATATACATAAATCTCATTAATTAGAACATATCCGCATAGTTTGAAAAAGTGTAGATATAAATAAATAAACAGTATATTTTAAAATAAAATGAGATCTTTCGATTGGTGTTCTCAGTTTTTGAATACCTCTTTTCGTTTCCGAGTTATTGAGTAAAATTTTATCGGTAATTTAGTGAAAAATTGTACCACGTTTAACCAACAATTAACAATAAAAATAAAAATAAAAAAATTAAGAATATCGTCAACTAGTAACATTTCCCTAGAAGTAGAAAGTCGATTGTTGTGTATCAATAAATTCAGATGAGAATAATCACGTGTGTAGCTAAAATGTTTTGAAGATACGTTAGAGAATTTCTTATGAAACGCCTATGTTTTTAATGTTTTTATAAACACATCCTGGAAAAAATCGTAAATCGGAAAAGCTTCCGGGTTAATAAATAAGTTAAAAAAAGTAATGCTGTTTTATTAAAAATATTTTTATTTAACAAGCATATGGTGCCACAATATAGAGTTTAGCATGCGGGAGTGAGCGACATCCCTTTCGTGATAAACGCGTGCAGGACTCTATGTATATTGTATGACTTATGTATGTATGTATTTTATAAAGAATTTCTGTCATCCCTTGTCAAGTTTGGTTTGGAGAGAAACCTGTTTCCGCGTTGTACATAATACACATGTATGAATTTAAAATCAAAAAAATAAATAAATTTTACAACATAAATATTTCTGAGCATTATCTGGTCAGAGCTATGTCGCTTGAAAAGTTAAATTTTCGCTGTAACATGCCTTTATGAAGAGGTGAACCGATTTTATCTTTGATTGTTAAAAAGCCATCCGCATCAAGCGCTGGTGGTAAAGAATGGCAAAAGAGATAAACGTAATCCTTCGGCTAATCGTCGCCGAGATATTTTTTTATGGATACAACATCTCAGACTTACATTATATGCAATGCGCAAAATTACATCCAAAGGTTGTCTTTAGAATGTAGGGTTCAGGTTTTTTTTTTTTTTTGAAGAGAAACATTTTTATACTAGAGAAGCGTATGGGTAAAAAAGTTCGACTTTGCCAAGCTATCGCTCGTAAACTAAGAGCCTTGGAGCTTTGGGCCTATGGAGACTTTTGTGTACGTGTTACGGGCGATCATTTTGTAAAGTCTCAAGGGGAAATTAGCCGAAAGCCATTTCCCCATAGGAATTCTGCGTGGTCCATTGTTCACAACCCTGAATTACTATGAAGCTGTGGTGCTTTGGAAACATTTCGGTATATGATGCAGACCTACATACATACATGTATATAGATAGCATTGAAATCGTTCATTATGTCCAAGGAAAAAAATAAAAATTTTTCTTGATATCTGTAAAATTATTTTATTTCATATACGAGGTTTGGGCACAAATCGGACGATATTAAGTTTTGTGCTACTGTCAAAAAAGCCAACTTTATTTGCTTCATCTCTGGTTCTCTTTTTTAAGCCACCATATATATGCCAAGGCAATAAAGAATGTTGTAGGCTACATGGAATTGGCTAGTTTCTTATGGCATGGCGGTGTTACCCGAAAATGTGTCCTCTTAATTCCCAGCAAACACAGTCTCTAACGTTGGAGAAGCATTTTGTTTTAAATTAGAATTCTAATGTAGTTTTCTAATGTTTCTCGATGGTTAGGGAGCTATAAGAGAATGATTTGAAAAAAACACTAGGCATTAAAAACCAATTAGAATTCGACGTTAGAAGACGATTTGTGATATCTAACCTTTATCTCGATATCGCCTTAGATCTAAGTCCTCTTTTTATGGAGAATGCTATAATTCTCGACAGTTTAGCTAATCGTCTTCTAATCTTCCTTAACCTTAGAGAAACACGCTGAAATTCGAATCAGTTTCTAATCGTTCTCTAACCTTCGTTATATCGTATATAGGTACACATTTTTGCTAAAAAATCTTAAAATACATATATATGCATACGAACATATTCATACGTACATATCGTTACCTTATTTTAGAAAGGCCCTAACTCATTTTCTTTTCAAATCCAGAACTGTTGAAAAGTCTGCCGATTAATCATAATAAAAACCCGTTATAATAATAATAATAGATTGACGCTTACACATACATATGTTAGTGTTTATAAAAACCCATTAGTTTCTCAAAATAACTAATACAGCATAAAATTAGTCGCATATGAATATTCTTCAACAAAAATAGCCTGCGGAAGAAAATCGCAGCAAAGGGACTTGATTTTCTATGGATTTCTTCCATCAACCCATGAAACCAGAAGAAAGATAAGGCCTTTCTATATTACGGCAACGATATGTATGTACGTATGTACATGTTTCTAAAGAGTAGTTTAGTTTAATCGTTCATTTGCTTTTATTTGAGCCATGAATATTTGAATTTACCATAAGATTTGAATACATCTCTATTTGCATCTGCTAATTTAACTTACTACATATGTACATATCTATATTTGTATGTATGTATGTCTGTACATTGTTTCTTTGCTTAACATGTCCTCTGCTTAAATAAGTCTTCAAGAACGCTCACCTTGCGTAATAGTCACGACGCCAAAATCTAAATACGGTTAAACAACTGCAGACACTCGCTAACCCTAATGTAATACAACATTCGCTCCCTATTTTTACACAAGAGAGAAGCTGAAAAGTTGTTTGCCAATTATTTTACTAATTTCCACTTTATCGCTATCTAAGCATCAACCCCTTCCGAAGTGGTAACTCCTCAAAATGTATAAAATACATACATACATACATATTTATCTTCTCAAAAATGTCGTTGCTTCTTTCTTCGTTAGTTGCTGATTCTGTGAATCGAAAGAGCTAAAGGTTATTTTTTTTTTAATTTTTTAATTTGCCGCTGGCCACAACATAAACCTCGCTGGCTTCCAGTTCTAATTAGTTTTAGCTTCCCCCTTCGCTATTGCAACGAAGCATTTGCCTGCGGCTCTGATAGCAGCAGTAAACTGCCAAGATCAGCTCATTGATGAAATTTAATATCTTTTTTTAACTTTTGTTATTTAAATAAAAAACTTAAAATCTCTCTCTGAACACGCATTCTGACATTTGGGGCGACTTCACAGAGCGAACTAACAACTCTGGTTCGATAATTTCATACATTACCTCTAAATTTGTATAAAGAAAATGGGTAACTCTCTGCATCCATTCATTACCCATTTTTGTTTGGCAAACAATTTCCGGCTATTTTCTGCCAGTTTCGTAAATGTACATACATACTACATAGATATTAATGATTTACATTACTCGCGGAGAAATTTGCATATTTCTTTATGAAACACCATTCATCCATAGATGGTATGGAAAATACCTTTAAAATAGTGGTCAGATGCAAATCAAATATTTATGAATGCTCCTATTGCATGCCTAATTCAAACGCCCTTCCTGCGTCGTTCGTATGTTCCACATGTAAATATATAGGTATGGTAAAAATATGTACAACCAAACGTTAAATGATTAAGGGTTTTTAATTTATTCCACGGTTCTATGGAATCTATTTATTTCTGTTACCTTTAAACCTCGTTTGAATGACAACAATTCTAACATAATAATTTTTTTTTTCTTTTTCACGCATATTTCTTGTCCGATTGCATGCGATTTCGATTACAATTTGCTGGTGCTGTGATGATTATGCGATGCTGCTGCAATAAACTACTACTCATACGCACTCGGCCTTTCGCCTGCAATGTGACATGTGGCACTCGCCGCTGGCTTGTCTCTGTGGTGGTGTTTCACTTGTCATCTTGCAGGGTTTTGGCTTTGTTACGTTCGCAAATAGCACCGACGCTGAACGAGCACGCGAGCGTCTTCACGGCACTGTGGTTGAGGGACGCAAAATAGAGGTGGGTGCATGTTGTTGTACTATTATTATCTTAAACCTATGCATTTAAATATTAACAGACGATTGAATTATTTATCTACTCGTAATATAGTACTTTAATGTATGTATACTAGATTTGCATTTGTATCTACTACTATTTATTGCATTCTTGAACGTATGTTTTATCTATGTATGCCTATTTCAAGCATATGACAATATTACAAATAATATTCGCTGTTATCATATAATATGCTAATATTATCATAAATAGAGCTACCTACATATACATATAATAAATATAACTGCATTTAAGTAATCTATGTACATAAGTTGGGAAAAAAATAAAAATTTGCTTACTTTGAGGTGGCACAACAGAATATTGTTGTAACAAAATACGCAGAATGGTGCGGACTGACGCATGCTTATTTAGGTTAAGAAAAATATACGTATATATAACTACATATCTATATGCATATGCAGGTACGCTATTGAAGAATATCGAGAGTAGATCAAATTGGCACAGTTATCGAATAACGCTGGGTTGCTTTGTATAATTTTGTGGAATAAAAGTTCATGGCATTTTTTTTTTGTATGTTTTTCATATTCATATTTGTCGATTTTCCTTTTTTATTAACCACTAATAAAAGCTTATCTTAAAAAAATATTTTTACTTATTACTCTTTTAGCATTTAAGGAATATGAATCACATACAAATTTTTTTGTTTCTTCTTTTCGCCGGTTCCGGTTCTTGCAACTCCATACGTACACGTTTTTTAATTTTGAATTTTTCCTTACCTTCAAAGCTACGGCCACCCAGTGATGCCAGACATTCTCTGTTAAAAATCCCACGAAAATGGGGAAAAAATCCCTCAATTACCCACAGCTTAAAAATTTATCCCACAAAATTCCCAACGAATTTAAACATATGTGACCTGGTCTACGAAAAGGGAGCTTACGTGCGAAAACTAGTTTTCTGTGAAAAAGCTGTTAAAAGTAAGCAACTCGTTTCGTCAGTTTCTCATTATCTCGTTAATTGTTCTCCGCGCCGGACGTCCAGTAAGTGTTGTTGTTGGTCCAGTAAGTGTTGTTGTTGGTCCAGTAAGTGTTGTTGTTGGTCGGAATATTATTATAGTTCATCGTGTAAGTTGCTAGTGTGGAACATTTTTATATATATATATTTTTACTCTTCTTTCTCTACATTTTTAGTACACTTCTAAGCAAGTTAGGATTTTCTGCTTTTCACCACGTGAAAAAGCATCTCATCTTCCATCCGAATCAACCAAAAAGTGAAAATTGATTTTTTGACACCTAAGCCCCCTTTCCGTAGACCAGGTCACATATACATGTTTCAGTAGTAAAGAAGTAAAATTCATTAAAATAATAATAGTAATAATTGGCGCTTACACATATGTGCTTCTCCTCCAATTTGTGGCGTGCCCCTTGTTGTTGTCACACAAAGGGGAGGGACCTACAGTTTTACGCCGACTCCGAATGGCGAGTGTATTTTTATGAGAAGCTGTTTTTCATGGCAGGAATACACTCGGAGGTTTGCCATTGCCTGCCGGAGGCCGACCGCTGTTAAGAAAAAACCCCTTTTTCTGCATTTTTTTCACTCATTCATTTTTTCACTTTCATTTTTTTGCTCACTCATTAAGGGCCTAAAAGAATTATTTGGTGACTGAAAATTGAAGCACATTCATATGCTATTTAACATTTCATCAGATAATTTGTTCCGCTTTTTACAAGAAACATTCTTTCTTACTCAGCGCTTAAATTGGTTAACGTAAGAAAATTTTCGAAATTGTCCTTATACTTTTTAACAATTATATACCATTTCATTCCACATCATATCTTCAGAAAGATTAATTACGTAAGAATGTCGAATATTCTTAAATTTAGATCAATTATGCAACAGTAACTGCATCAAAAGAAAATCCCTTATTTATTTGAAATGTCCCTTTTTTTCCCTTTTAATAATTTTTGTTGCAAAATATCCCTCAAATAGGGAAATTACCCACAATCTGGCATCACTGCGGCCACCCATCTTTCCGCGTCTTAATCGGGTGGAAGACTATCTATGGGTGGCTGTTGAACGGGGGACCATTAAAGATCCCACCCCTGATTCTCTAAGAGCAATTATTGTATAAACTTGTTTCAAACAAAAAAAATGTACTTTGAGTATTTTCTTCGTTCGAGTTTGAAATCATAAAGCCTTTCTTTTCTCTCTATAGTGCAGACCATCTACGATTCTCAAATTAAAAACAAATATGATAGAGATCAATGGGGTGAGCATAATGGGCGCGTTTCTAAGACGTACCTGTTGCTAAACGGTTGAGTGTTTGTTTCAGAAACGCACAGTTGAGTAGTTCCGCTCAGCTCAACGGTTGGCAACTTACGCCATTTTTCCCCATCATCAAATTATGTTAATAAAATAAAATACACGTAGAAATACATACATATATTAAAAGTAAAATATGAAAAACTCCATTATAAATCCTGCGCTATCCATATTTTTAGCTTAATTTATTTTTTTTTGTGCCGTTTTATTTAATTTTGCTTGTTTACAAATGTCAGCTGTTCGCTTGGCAGTTTATGCATCATACCGTTTCTAAGACGTAACTGTTGAACTCAACAGTTGACAGTATTTCAGCAACAGTTGAGGTAAACAGTTGCGTCTTAGAAACGCGCCCAATGATATGCTTTGTTTTTGGGGTAAAAAAAATTGCATGAATTATTAAAGGTCAAAAGTCAATTTTAAATCAAAACCAATGCCTGAATTTTAAATTCGTTAATTTCATTTCATATGAAATTTAATAATAATAATAATAGATTGTCGCTTACATAACATGTTAGTGTTGGCCGAGCTTCGCCCCCGATTTATGCGCTTTAATGTTGTCACACAGTTTTAACGGCGATTGTATTTTTATGAGAAGCTGTTTTTGATGGCAGAAATACACTTGACCTTTTACCTTTGCCTGGCGAAGGGCGAGCGCTATTAGAAAAAGACTTTTTCTTTTCTTTTATTTCTGATGTTAGCCGGAAACTGGGCTCCATTCCAGGCCCTGCTGAACGGTAGGTAGTACGCATTTCTAACCACTACACTATAGCGGCCGATAGGAAATATATACCATCTTTAATTTGATATATACATACATATATGCAACCGGAACCGGATCCTGTCCGAAAATTCACGTCGAGTTATTTTAATATTCGTGTGCCTAAAATGTTTTTTATTGATTGGAGATTTAAAAAAAAACAAGTACTACCGAATCATCTCGTTTTGGGCTCAAATTGTTTGCAATTGTTGTAATTGTAACGTTCCCGGAAAACTGGTATGGTAAGTTGGCTAAACTCGCTTGAGCCGCTTTCCTCGGGATTTTTACATCGTTAATTACGAATCTTAAAACAGATTTTAAAAACTAAAAATGGCGGCTCCATATTTGATCTACCATTTATCACGGTAAACTTAAAATCGTACCTATGGACATGGCGTATAAGTAATATTCTCATCTTAGAAGCTCCTTCATTTGGACAGCTACAACCGTGATATGTTGTAGCTATGTATTTCCCTATCAATCACGGCTTGGTGAGAAACCCACAAAGATCGGTGCTCTATAAGAAATTCCGCCCACCACCACCACTGATTGATCGGATATGAGTTTTTGTGATACAACTTCTTCCATTTAAGTTAAATTTGGTACCCTATTTGGTTATGATAAATGTTTATAAAGATCGCAGTGATCAGTGATCATCATCCCGATTAATTTAGTATAATGCATAGCTCCCAAACAACTGATTGATTATATATTTATAATATAAATTTTGTGACCTATTTACTTATAAATAAATAGCACCTTAAAATTTAATACTTTTACGCTAAAAATTCAAATACTAGAAATGTATTTCATAAAAAACATGTCCTTGCTTGTTTCCCATTGCATAACTGTTGAACTAGGAAGCGTTATTCGTATGTGCTTACATATGTACATACATATACGATATGTCAATAGGAAAGGCACTTTGTTAAAGAGAAAGAACCAGGATTAAATGGCAATTTACATCTTTCCGCATAGAGATCAATACTATCCATTACTTAAATAGTAAATGCTTTTTTCTTGTACTGCTTCTCTCCTCTATGTCAAAAAAAAATTAAAAAAAAATAGCTTCCACTTAAAAATCGCGTTGCATTGTTAGCACAAAGGGCTCAGTTTTTTTTTCTTATTTCTATACTTTTTGACTGGCGCGGATAAAAATTAAGCAAATAAACGAATAAAAGCTTTAGAGATTTCACGGAATTTCGCCAGTATGTATTGGAATACCACTGCGACGACAGCTAGCGGATGCAATTGCAATATGCCGTATGTGTGCTGTCAGTTGCGGCAGACTTGAATGTTCGGTGAAGACACAGAACAGAAGCAAAGACAAGTTGGCAGATTGAATATGGGGGTGGCGTGTCAATAGCGTGGCGTGTCAATAGTATCAGCTTTCATTGCTGGTATCGAAAATTCCTGCAAATTCAAAACGCTGTAAATTTCCGCGCTCAAAATCATAAGGAAATCCTTTGAAATCCATTACAATCTGACAACTAACCATGGAAGTCTCGAAACTCCAACCTAGGTGGGCAGGAGAAGAGAAAGGCCAGTCACCAACAGAAGCTGGGAAAACAGTTAAAAAAAAAAAGTATTGGCATGTGTTTCATATCTTTCAAAGGTTTACCGTAATTTCGTATATGTATGTACATAAAACCGAGTTTTCCTTTATTATAAATTATTGATTTGCCAATGTTTGTACAAAGGAAAAGTCCAGTTCTTTTTTACGCAGCAGATCATTGGGGACCAAATTTTTTCGTGAATAAATTTAGCTTTTCCTATTTTGAGCAGGTCTGCATTACGGTGGCGTGAAATTAAGTTTTTTTGGCAATCGCTTTAAATAGAGAAATAAAGGTGCAAAATATTATTTGCTTCATCGTATGTTGAAAGGGGTTCCATAAAGGAATATTTTTCGAGATATAGACGAAAATTC